TGCAAGTAGGTATTGATTTATGTTTGTTATGCTACGACGCAATAATACTTTATTACTTGTCGACAAGTGCCAGACGAGTGTCTACCTAAGTTCCATCCATCCCGTTCCGCGTTAACATTATATTTTATCAGTGTCGTTCTTGGTAGAACGAAACATTTTTCGTCGCTGCAAGTGTTTCATTATATTTTAAAACTTCTGCATTTTAGAATTTCTTCGTACAACTACACAAGACAGCAGGTAATTAAAATAAAAAAAAAAAATAAAAACAACTAATGATAATTACTATTGATTTACTTAAGAGGTAAAATATTCTGTTACATTGATAAGTTAGTATAATGAAAATAGATATAATAATTTTTACTTCGTTAATAATTTATATGAAAATAAATGGATATGTTTTGCTATAATTTCAGTGGGTATTCAAATATTTATTTTTAAAATCTTTAAGATCTTTGATAAACAAATTATTCATAAATCATTTGATATTTTATAATTTACATTAATAACTCTAGGTGTAGAGGCGTATTAAGATTATATGCTCCTTTTTACCACCCCCACCCCACCGCTATCCTATCTTCAACTCGAGCAACATAATTTCGATTTCAATTAATTTTTCTACTTATCAATTTATTACCTCTCACTTTTAATAAAATATATTTTTTATGGCTTGCAATAGTTTTAATCGATATTAATAAATGTAATTTATGAAATAATTTAATTAAATTTAATTGTTGCTTTGTAATATTAATGTTAATTTAATGGATTATTTTAAAATCTTATTAATTTTTCATTATAAAACTCAGTTGATTGATAAAAACTTGTAATTTTTCACCTAAAATCAATATTTATAAGTTATGTATAAAATTGTTAAATGATTGGTTTTGTGTGGAATTCATACATTTTGATTGATAAAAGGATTGCAGTTCGACAAACCTCATAAAATATTGAGAATTTGCGAGCATTAGGGACAAGTCTATTAGTTAATAAATGTAAATAATAAAATAATCAAAGTCTTGAAATTAAATTCAAATTTAATTATGAAAGATATCTTAATGGTGAGTGGCGAATCTTGGAAAATATTTGTATTATTTATAATTTTACATTTTTTTTTTCAATTTTTTTATTACTATTTTTATTTTTATAATATTAAAGCGTAACAAGTGATATTATTAGTTAAACGGTTTCAAAAAAATGATTCTTTTTGATAATTTAAATTATATAAATCTATTATGTGTTTAAAAGCTTAAAAAAAGATACAAATATTTTTCAAAATACTTGTTACTATTTTATGTATAGTGGGAAAATGGAAAACATGAAGTATTTACGTATGTGTAAATTAAACAAAGACCCGGTCCTGGATTGATTCTAATCGATTTACGGCCTTCCCCGATGGGGTGGTATGATGGTGACGCTACTGTTGGGTGGCGTGCGGGGATCTGCGCAGAACGAACCGATTCTCGTCGTGCCGCAGTCTCCGGGCAGGGAATTTATATATATATATATATGTTTATACTAGGGTGACCATTTTTATAAAAATAAAAAACGGGACAAACAATTTTTTATTAAAAGGTATGATAATTATTTATTTTTTCCAATTACATTTAAGTTATAATTTATTATAATACTATAAAATAATTATCAATAAATAATAATTATAATATTAAAAAAAATTTAAAAATATAATTTTTAAAACTGTTTTATATTTTTTTTTAATAAATCGATATTTTTTTTTACAATTATTATTTTATAATATGGAAATAACAGGATTAAAATGATATCATCTTTTAAAAACGGGATAAAAAGCGTCCCGTTTGGAGTTTGTTGGGTCAACGGGATATGATGATCAAAAAAGGACAATCTCATTTTAAACGGAACGTATGATCATCCTTTTTTTATATATTAAGATTAGATAAGATGTTCCTAGCCTTGGCTATCTACATCTATTGATATTTACAATGGTACATTTTTAACAATTTAAACATAATTATCCTAAATTATATACACACAATATTTATACCTAATTAGATTATTTTACAAATAATTAGGACTGATATATTAAGTATATTATTATTTTTAAATAATGAAATTGAAATATGATATTTAAAAAAAAATAAGTACTATTTGTTCATTTTAGATAATAAGACATTTAATTCAGTTTTTATAAAATACCTAGGTCTTCTATCCAAGTATATATAGTTTTATACATACTATATAAATTATGGTAAGTATTTCCAATTTATTTACATTTTGCTCCAAATTGATCGTAATTATCATACATAATGTAAGTGGCTGTTTAAATAATTTTAGTTCAATCATTACAATATAGCTGATTTACCCTTACCTAAAATTATTAAAAAAATTTAAAATACTTCTCATATTATAAATGTATATCCACTTCTCAGACACTTTGTATAATTTGTTTTATTTATATATATATATTTTTTTTATGATATATATTCTTAATTATTTCGTTTTTAGAAGCATAATATTCTTCTGAAAATGTTTAGATTTAGAAATAGAATGTTTGATTAGTTGTTAATTATTATTTTTTCATAACATTTACTATTTTCATTAATTCTATAGTTTATTGGTAATAATACTATTTATTAGTAATATGCAACGATATCGATATCGTAATATATATTTGATATCGATATCGATTTATAATTATTCGATATATTATCACGCGATATCGTAATGATTAAATTCTAATCATCGTTTTTATTTATTTTCACTTGTTTGAAATTTGATTACGTTGTATGAGATATGAACACTGAAATTCAATACAAACTGGAAAATATCCACTGGCATTATTATTTAATTTATACTTATACGAGCATATTATGATTACCTATAAGCTTGTAACAATTTAAATATATTTATACCCAATAAATTCCTATTAATTTTATTTTTAGGTTTCAATTTTGAACACTTTTTTTCTTATTATTAAAAGTTAATTTATAATTTCAAAATTTATTTATTTTGGATGTTTTATATTTTCGATACAAATATATGGTATCGATATTGCAAGAATTACGATTTTGCGAAACACTATCGATACATTTTTTACAATATCAATATTTAAATTTATGTTATTGCTCATCTCTACTAATTATTTCTATATCTTAATTATGATTTCAGAAAAATATTTTACTTTATAATATGAATTTAAAATATGGGTTATCATTTAATAGAAATAACAAAATTGTTTTGAAAAAGTAAGTTATTTCATTATTCTAACAGAAGGTCTTTCTTTTATACAATTTTCTTTAAATAAATTATATAGGTAACAATATTTCAAAATAGGTAACAACAATTTATTAATAAATAGCATGTAGCATGTTTTAATGAATTATAATAATTCCTGATTGTCTGAGTATTGAACATTTCCTTCAGTAAACTAAAAATAATATAATATGTAGATTTTTAGTTGGCCAATTGATGTTAGGTATTAGATTATGTGCTGCATAAAAATATTTAGATATTAATTTTTAGGCAAGTATTAATTTGTTATTTATAGGTAATTAATTAAATCAATTTTAATTTCTATTAGTTTTTATTAAGCTAACATTATGTATAATGTAATTAGTTTCCAGTTGGTACTTTATTTTTGATAGAAATTATATTTATATCTTATATCTTTATAGTAGGTAGTAGGTACCTACATTATTTATTTATAAGGGAGATGCCCTAAATTACCTAATATACAATAAATCTTAAAAAAAGTTGTGAAAAGCTTTATTTATTTATTAGAATTAGGAATTTTTTTTTTCTAAAAGAAAAGGCTTCAACGACTTAGGTTATTAGTCTGACATTAAATTATTACATGGTATTTTTCTTAAAATTAATAATATGGTTTTCTAATGCTTGTTTATTATTAAAATATTGTGATAATTTGTAAGTAATATTAAATTATTTTTATATTAAATAATATATACATTATATGCATATGCATGGTCATTTTCTTTTAAAAATTATCACAAAAAGACATTGAAGAATTGAACTATATAAAAAAAAAAAAGTATACTTAAATAAATAATAAATGTAGTGTATAAATTAAATGTATTCTATCCTAAACTAAAACTATATTATAATCTACATATATTTATTTTAATCTTTAATAGCTTATTATAAAACTCTATATTAAAATATAAATACTAGAATTGTTTTATATTTCACTAAAATTCAAAATGATGACATTATTTAATGTTATCTATAGATCATGCCCTTATCTACAAAGTGTAGGTACATAATTGTAGGATAATATTTATAATCAACTAATTCTTAATAAATCTATTATATTATATTGTTCTCGGACTTTAAATCAATGATTTACAATCTAGACGCTGTACATAAATATTTTAGAATTTTTTAGATTATAAATAAGTACCTATGAATATGAAAATAGTTATAAAAAAAATAAATATCTATCTGAGGTTGTCGAAGTTACATTAAAAAGATTAAGAAATATTGATCTAGTTTACATATTAAGTTTTTATAGAATGTATAATTGTTGTTACATAACACAAAAATAGATATATAATTAATATGTTATGTTTTTTAGTTGAATGTAGTACTAGTAGCTTACACAAAAGAAAAAACCAATTAAAAAATTAAATCAAGTAAAATAATTCAATTTAAAATCTGACATAAAAAGATCTATACATTTTTTAATTATTAGTTGTACTCATAGAATGCTACAATTTTAGTGATTAATAGAAGTAGGAAATTAAAATTTCAATTTTACTCAATATCTGTTTCTTACTAATTAGTTATTATTATTAACATTGTAAATATATTACAATCGCAATCTTTATATATTTACTAATTAAATTAAGTATTTTATAGGTTTATTATTGAAGTATAAAAAGAAATATCCAAGATATCCAAGAAATACAAGCAAAAAATAGTGGACTAAGGTGAATTTTTAGAAAAAATCTGTAAAAGATTCATTTGAAAATATTAATTTTGTTATAAACAAATACAATTTAAATTCTACTATGGACCGAGTACAAATTCAAAACACATCACTTCCTCATTGTACAATTTTTGGAATTTTTAACCAAGCAACATCTTCCAATTTAACAAATAATAATGGTGCTATAGACCTTACATTAGGTGATATTACTGGTAATCGTATTATAACTCGTAATAATTTTGGAAGAGTACAAAATGATGCTCAAATTTTTCATCAATATATTCCACGAAGTCCAATTGAATGCATAACACTTACTGATGAAGACAGTGATAATAACACGATGCATCAACATTTTAATCAATCTGCTCCAACTACTGGTCAATCAATTCAATCTACTGGTCAATCTTTGCAATATATTCAATCTCCAAATCCATCTGTTCAACCTGCTGGTCAATCTTTGGAATATATTCAGCATAATCAAGCACGGGTTAATTTTACACATCTAGGTAACTACTATTTATGTTAATTTAAAAAACACAAAATAAACATTTAATGTTTATACCTAAGTGTTTTGTTTATTTAAAATCATATTAAATATACATAATTATTCCAATATTTTTAGTTATTAATAAATATTAATATTTGTATAAACCAAAGAAGAATGCCCAACTGACTGATTCATAATCAACATATTACATAAGTACATCCTAAACTTTGAATTGTCATGGTATCTTCATACTATTATGGTAAAGGTGCACTAAGAAAGAATGTTCTTAAACTTATAATTTAATAAAAGATGCTCACATAAAGATTTGATGGTTCACAAAAAACAAATATTTGTTTGATTATATAGAGTTGTCATTAGTTACAGAAAATATAATTATATATATATATATTTCATTTGGTCAAAACTACTTAAATTACTGTGTTAAAAATTTGTATAACTAACATATTTTAATATTTGATAGAGTTTAAGACAGAGCAAATTCATGAGCATTATTTAATTTGTTACAAGCAACGCCATGCTGGATCAGCTATTTTTAATATGAAATATTTGAATATATTTATATCTGAGTTATATTCAAATAATGAGATTTTATTTTCAACTAATAATAGAAATTTAAAATAAAATTTAACTTATTCACAATTATTTATTTGTTATAAATTTTAATTTTACAGAACCTACTTATTTTCCACGCTTGACTTCACCAACTACTACACCAATAACTTTAGGAGAACGGAGACCAATTATTATTGATGGCTTAAATATTGGTTATGCGTAAGTTTTATTCTCCATATAGTTATTTTTTATAATAACTTTAGATAAAATTATTTTGTTTCTATAATAATAAATTTAATTACTAAGATAAAATTAACTTGGTGTTTAATTCAAATAAGTAATAACCAATATTATGGCTATAGACTAACATACTTATGACTTATGAGTGTATGAATGTACATTGAATTAGATAGGTTTGTCAGATAAATTATAGGTATGTAGGTGCACTGCACATATTATTTTATTTAAAACTGTACAAATTATAATTTTAACATAAACAAAAATTATTTTTATAAGCATAAAAATAATTTTGTCAATAACAAAAATATATATCTTATGAAAATAATATCCATTATTCATAAAAAAATGTTTAGTTATCACTCATTATACAAATTAAAATTATAGAAATCTAATCTAATTATGCTTAAAAGACAAAATATCTGAAATTTACAAGTATATTTATGCATTTGAATAATCGGAAGAATTAGTTATTACCATAAAAAATAACAATCATGTTGAGGACTTGTGACTTATAAAATTAGGATAACTTAAGTTATTAAAAAAATAAGGTTAAAATCAAACTTAATTGTATTTTTAATTATCTTATTTAAATATTAATAATTTTACAACAATTTAAAAGAAAAATATTTTAACTGTTGATTGTTTATACTTAGTTGATTTTATTTTATTAGGTATTATTTAGAATCATATTGAAAATTTGAAATGTGAATAAGTGATAATTGTTTTTTTTTATATATTTATTTAGTCATGGATGTAATAAGAAATTTTCTGCAAGAGGCATTTATTTGTGCGTACAGTATTTTCTTAAACTTGGATTTAAAACTATAAGAACTTTGTTACCACATCATCGGAAGGGAGCACCTGGATCAGAAACTAACTCGGAAATTAATTGGTTACTAGAAGCTGGTTATATTTTTTTTACACCCAGTAGAAAAATTCAAAACCTCCGTCTAACATGCTACAGTGATCGGTACCTAATCTTAAATTTATTTATTATTGTACTTATTTATTTTTTAGATTTTATTGTTTAATGAATTTAGTCATAACATATTATCATGAATTCATTATGACAATGCTATCTAGTATTTACCTTAATAGCAACAATTCATAAGGTGACACCAAAAAATCTAATTTAGAACAATTTTTACAGACAGTATATACAATGTTTTATGTTCAACTTCTCCCTATATAATTTCATTATTCATTTCAAAAATTATTCTCAATAGAGCTTATCATAGTAGGTATAAAATTTACAGTGGTTTAAATTTCATAATCATATAAAAGGAAGAAAATATTAAGTTTTCTTTATTTAATTTTAATTTTTACTGTCTAGATTAATATTTAGTATATACCTACTATAATATTATAAGCATAGAGGTAGTTAGAGTTATAATGTTATACATGAGGTCATTTAAATTATTATACAAAAATACATTTCATAAATTATAAAAAATATAACATATAATAGTGATTAAATGTATTTATTTATTTTTAGACAGTACCTATCAGGTTGAATAAAATAAATAAATAAAATAATAAAAATGAATTTAAGTGCGTTAAAACAATTTAATGCATTTTTTTTTTTTGTTTTTCTAATAATTAAGATTTTTATTATTTTTGTTCTTAGTATTATACTTGATCATGCTTACAACTGTGGTGGAGTAGTTGTATCAAATGATAACTTTAGAGATCTGTATGAAGAAAGTGAAAAGTATAAAGAAGTCATCGAAAACAGGTGAGCTATAAAATTTGTTTAGAATCATTGTTACTTCGAAATAAAAAAAAGTAGATATCTATAAGGTTAAAAATACATTATATAATATATAATTTGTATGAATTCAGTCTATTCTATAATTATATACAAATAATTAGGTTTTAAAATAATGTATAGATATTAAATTATTTCATGTCTTTTATCTATTTATAAATAATTTTATAACAAAATATATTATGATACTCAAATAAAGACATCTTTAGGAATACGTTAATGAGAAATAAGCATTTTAATTATATGTTTGATAAGATGCAAGTAACACTTATCTCAAATTTTAGTAAACCAAATCCTCTGCCTTAAATTAAAGATATTTTAATGATTAGATATCTAACTGATTTTTCAAGCAATATTCATAATATTTGTATCGTTAGAATAATGCATAATATTTTCACTGCTATGTATATTATTAATCAATATATTTTTTGTCTTACATTTTTAGGCATATAATGATCATGTTTATCAATGATGAAATTATTGTTCCATCTGATCAGTACAGTCGTCGATATCCACATTTGTATCTTTCAAAAATCTTGCATTTTCCTTCTTAAATTTAAACAATCTGCTACGAGTGTCATAAGTTCAAAAAATACAATTTGTTTTCATAGTAAATGGTTAGTATTCTTAGATCAATATCTTTTTTTTTTTTTGAAAAAATACTACATTACCTCACTATCGCAACTAACAGTATATTATAAATTACAATATTTTATATTATTTATTTAATTTATAAGATAATTAATTTTATTCATTGAATGATAATTTTTGCTGATTCAAGTTTTTATTATTAAAAATAAGTGATATTATAAGTTCAAATTAAAATACATTTTTTAAGTGTTATTAAATTAATGTCAATGTATTTTTAACATTAAAAATTTACTTTAAATAACTTAAAACTATGATGTACGAATATCTCTACATTATTAATTATTATACATTTATATAGGATAATTGATTTTGTTATATCTATTTTAAATTTTTATCCATGCAAATACTTAATGACTATATTTATTTTATCATAAAATTATTGTCCCAATCAATCAATACTGTCATAAATATCTGGGTTTGTATCATTTATTATTTTATGTTTTCTCATGTACAATTTTATATAATAACTGAAGTACAAATTAAATTACATTTTTTTCAATATTTTTATTTTTCAGTTATTAATAATGGTACAAAAAAAAATAAAAAAAATAAAATAAAATCAATTGTACATTGATGTATATCATGATATAATTATAAATCATACATAAGTTTAATAAGTGATAAAATATGAATAAGGTATTTCTTTTTTTTTGTTTTATCACCAAAAATTAAAAAAATAATATTAGGAAAAATCAGTCCAATTGTGTGCAACTTACGGAAAAAATTTTTAGTTTAATAAACAAGCTACATTTTACTGTTAATATGCAAATTGCTTATAAAATAACTTGTGTATACACTGTTTTTTAAAATAATACTTCCAAGAAGATAACCAAGTTACGCTCATTTATATAGTTAGTGGTCTTCATGATCAAAAATCGTCAATTATTGTGTGATAAAGGGATTAAAACCATTTTTTTTAAAAGTATCTATAATCTTGGTAATGAAGAAAATTATTCAATTACTTTTACGTTATACAATTTATGTTTTTGATTTTTGACTTTTGATTACTTGTATGTTGAAATTTCCGAATTTGTATCTAGGTATGATTAACCAGATCAACCATTTTTTGTTATTTATACAAATACAGTAAAAAATAAAACCAAAGAAATTAAATAAATAATGTCTCAATTTTATAATAAGAAACATTTTTTATATTACATATTATGCATTATTGATTATGCCTAATAAGGTAATAAAAATTGTAATTTATAGAACCATTACCTACCTCATAGGTTGCACATATTGGATAGATGCTGTTAAATTCTAAAAAATAATCTATAATCTTTTACTTGTTAGTTATGTTTGACGATAATATAATTATATTAAAAGTTATTTACTTATTGAGATTTTAATAATAAATTATTATATAAAAGTTCTATAAACAGTATAAACACTTAGTTATTTGTTATTAATTGATATTATGAGCTATACATGATTTAGGTATTACTTAAATTATAAAGTTATAATTAGAAGTTTTAATTTTGATGTAAGTTTGTTTAAAATTTGTTTCATCAAATTCTCTATGGTTTGAGGTATGTAGGGAGAATACATAATATATGAATAATATAATCATAAATGATTTGAATTCTTTATTATTACATAATAATTTTTATTATGATCTATGGAATTTCCTTTGGAGTAACTTAATTATGGACTATTTAGTTACATATTAGTATATGAAATTGATTTAATATTAGTGTAATTAATAAAATGATAATATAATAGTATTAATATTTAGTAATAAATTCAATGATAATATTAATTTATACTAATAAATTATTATTTAAATAAGTAGTTATATAAGTTTGTAAGTGTTTGTAACCTCAGTGGTTGAAGTGGATGGCCAGCTAAGAGAAAGATATTTTATAATAACATTCTGTTCTATTCTCATTAAAATATAAGTATTATGTCTCTGTACATAATTATTTTTAAGATGTCATCCATTTATTTCTGTTGCAATTATTTGAAAAAGGAACCACGTCTACCGTATTACAATATATTGTATTAGAAAATTATATAGGTATTTTAATTATTCTATGGATTTCATTTTATAGGAAAATGTTATTAAAGATAATTTAAATCATACTTCATTAAATATTTTATTAGAATGTATCTAAATATTGTAGACCACTTCAACCACTTTATAGGTATCTTATAGTTATGGATTTTCGATATTAAATAAATTATTTAAAATTAAATACCCTATTTAAACTAATGGAACTATAAACTTAAGCATTATCTATTGTAAAATTAAAACTAAATAGATTTATTTATAAATTTATAAATAATATTATTATAACTTTGCTTAAATTATTATTCGTACAGTGTCTTATCTCGTTTGTTCTCATTCATTATAAGCAGAAATTTATGTTTTATTATTCAATAAAATAAAATTTAAATTCCACTGGTCAAATTTTTATTAATTCAATTTAGTTTCTTTTTTCTCATCATTCAATTAAATATATGTAAATCATCAGTTTTAGGGTCAGTTAAAATAAGTAAATTTTATTCTAAAACCAGTAAAATTGAACAATAAACTTCAAATAATATAAATTGAGGGTATTTATTACCTTATATTTTGAAGGCAAGTGAAGTCTTCTCTTTCTAATTTGTAGGAAGACTAAGTTAATGATGGCGATAAACGTGATAAGACATACAATATACCTACTTAACGTTTATATACATACCTAAGTAAATAAGTTGGTGTATTTTTAATGTTATTGTACTTAGTTAATCTAATATTTAACGATAATGAATAATGATATAGGTATGTAGTGTGTTTTTAATTGTTAATTATTAATTTTAAGTTTTAATCAGTGTTTAAAAAATAAATAAAAATATGTATTAAATATTAATTTATAATCTACTATCATTAAGGTAATTATTGTGTACGAGTATTATTTTGATGTATTATTACTTATCAATGTTGAGCTAAAATACTCTTTGTTTAAACAATCATTTAAGTTAAATAATCTATTACATCAATAAAAATAAATACAATTTTCACTTAAAATACATATATATATTATAATTAATAAAAAATTGAAAACAAAGCTATGTAATATAAATGAATAATGGACCATAATTAAATGTTTAACTATGGAATATGATTAATTTCACTTGCTAGTTCTTTCAAAGTTAAATTTAATTTTCTTACATCATAATATAATATAATTTCAATTCTACCAATAGAAAAATTCAATAAATATATATTTATTGAAATTTATCATTTTTAAAAACTTTAGATGTCATCTCTATACTTTTATGATTGGTTAAACATTGAGTTTTTTTTGGCCGAATACTGTGTACCTTTATTCAATATATATATATAATATAGATACTTTAGTTGTTTTAATTTTTTGTTATTTTGTTCTCTAAAATGATGAAACCTTTAGTGTCAATTGTTAAAAATGATAGGTAGCTATCGTAAAATAATTTCACTAATATCCATAATTAGTATATATTATAAACTGTTATTGTAATACATACATAACATATACTTATTTAATACTATTATCTTCCATTAAAGTTAAATAAAATAAATAAACTTCCCTGTGAAGTACAATTATTGAAAGACAGTAGTGCATAACAGATTTTTTTTTTAGTGGAGTGTATTACTTTTAATTTTTTAATTTTCCGAAAATTACTTAGTTATTTACATATGACTATTCTACTCGAGGAGAGGGGTACTTTAAGAAATATATTTTCATGAAGGCAGTCATTTTTAGAGAAGATTTATCCACTCCTTTCCAGTTTCCATGAGTATACGTCACTACTTATGAACGTACCTACTCATAGACTAGGTACTTACTATACCTTCATGAAGTGTTTTAAAATTTTTTAGTATTAATAAATATTAACTATTATTTTAAATTTTAGAAATTTAAACTAATATTAATGATTTATCCTCTTATAATTTTTGTTATTTTATCATGTATATTTATTAATTAACTTACCTACCATATTATTAGTTATCACTAATAGAATAATAATTTACTAGATAATAAAATATTCTTAGAGACATAAGTTGACTAGATGACGGAAAAAAAAAATGTAAATTTCACCGGTACATTTTTATTTTTATTTAGATATTCGGGATTTACCCTTTTACATTTGTGATGAATTAATTAGTATTAGAGTATATGTATAATATGAAATTATTAAACACTCAATAATAATAAAACAATAGTAAGCAATAATTATTATAATAAATTACAATAGATAATAGGAACATAATTTATGTACAGATTTCTTATTTATACATATAGATAATATATTCAAAATTTAAATACTTATATCATTTTTTAAACAAATTAAAAAAAAAAATATGTAATAATTAATAATGATTATTAAATAGTAGTAATTTATTTTACCATTGGTGGAGTTAACATGTTTTCAGATCAAAAATACGTACCGGAGAAATTTACATTTTTTTCAGGTAAAAAAAACCTACCGGTGGAATTTACATGTTTTAAATTCAACCCAAAAATCGACTACCTATAAATTTGTGGAATTTACAATCGCCCTCTGTATAAACTAAGTTTTCTTCCGCATTGGCACAATGACATTTTCTAGATAGGTTCCAAGTATTAGAAGCTAATCACGAGTAGTTATTAGTAGTTGAGTCCAGGATTTTTTTCTTTAGTATGCATTACGATTATAAGCATATTGTAGACTTTAAAAACATACCTACATTATAATAAGAAGATTCGAAATAATTAAAAAAATAAATTACATTTTATTGAAAAATAAATTTAATATTTATAAATGATAAAACAAATAAAAAACGGTAGGAATACACTAAAATGATTTTTAAATAATATTTTCTTTTTGAGATTTTTAATATTTCAACAAAATAAACTGAAAATTTTTGTTTCATAACCGCATTTAAAAATATATTTAGACAGTCCTAATTATGTTAAAATGCGAAAAAATGGTTAGTTTAGCCAGTTTAGGATAATTCATAATTACCGAAAAATACTTTGAAACCCAACTGGGTAACCAGTTTAAAACCTAAGATAATCCGAGACCCAAGAAGTATTTAAATTCGGGACCCAACTCCAATGCATCCAATGAAATCAAACACAGTATTGTTATTGCAGTACATATTCTGTAGAAAAATTATGACTATAGTCATACGTATACGTAGAGTATTAAAAGGCGGACATCAGGACACGTTTTATTTTTTTGTAAAAAAGAAATCAAAAATTTACATTGCTCACAAAGTCACATAATCATAAACAACTGAAAGGCATTGCACACAATGCCAAATTATTCACTTTGGCCGTAGATATTTACATAGATTTTAATACTTGTAAACTATAGTGTGTGATCGACGATCACCCAAAAACGAGGGCGGCGTCGGAAAAAGGTCATATTATTGCTTTACTTGTCATTAAGTATCATAGTCTTATCTGACCAGCAATACAATTTGAATTACTTGTTAACCTTTTTATACGTACCATTCAACATAGTTAGGTACCTACTAAACAGTGACGGACACTATGACGGAAAACGTGGCACTAACATATAATATTGGATACAAAACTGTAATATGTCTTTAAGGAATCTCAAGAACAATACATTTATAATTTGTACTAAATTATATTTATTCACACTTCACACATATTATTTTTCAATACATATTGTTTACATAATATTACTACAAATGTATTAAACTATGGTGCCGCTCTGGGCATATTATAGAGAAAAGAAGTATTAGTGTAATAATTGGTACCTACTTAATAGTAAGTTTATTCTAGTAAAATAATTTAGAGGAAAAAGACTTATAATTTTACATTTTCGTTTTATAATGAGAAAAACATATAATTATATTATTATAATATATTATTTGTGAATTTCACGGCCGCATTTATTATTTTATTGACCAGGGAAAAATTATTTTGTCAACCACTCCTCTCCATATTTCCTCATTAATTTATTTAAATTTTGACAGTTCCCATTTTTTTTTTATAAATATAAGCAATTAAAATATTTAATTAATGATATGTAATTATTAACTGTAAGTTTTACATATCGCATATAGTTTAAAAATGCATTTTCATTATTTATTTATATTTTATTTCAACCCATAAAAATTAGTCGCCTGGGAAAATTACTGATTTTCCAACTCCCTAAATGCGGCCATGATTAATTTATTCATTAAACGCGATAATAATATGATAATAATATGATAATAATTACAATTGTTTTAATGATTACAGTATTTATTTGTGTAGTCTAAAAATTATGTTTACATCAAAAAATGTATACTTAGGTATAATATACAGATTACGGTGGTTCCGTAAATTCTTATAAACTATTTGAAGAGTGTATCAAATAAAGTATACTAGTAAAGACATAATTGAAAATAAAAACATAAACAAATAAAAAAAAAATATATAAAAATAAAATGCAATGGTTTTAGAAATGATAATTTTTAAGATAAGTATTGACTATTGAGCGTTATTTATTGACAACATATTTAATATGATATTATGATATATTTTATTGACATTAAATAACCATTTTTAAATGTTTTTGAACCCGAAAACCTGAAAAAACCTAGAACTTAGTGCGTCCAGCGAACACTTACATTGATATGGTTACTGTACCTATACTTTTAGGTATAGGTATCAAAAATTGATGATTTAAGTTTCAATTAATATGTAATGATTTATGTTTAACACCCACTTGAAAAAAGTAAACTGAATATTGTGAAAGTAATTCGAAAAATAGTTTTTAATTGATCTTTTAGTTTACTTGGGATCGGTTTTAAAATTATATTATCATACTGGAATCAGTTTTTTAAATTTTAGTCTTGATGTGAGTTAAATATCTCCATGTGAACTTGTATAATATATTATGAAATAATTGGAAAAGATTTGACAGATCGATGTAGCTTATATGATATAAATAATTATAACTATTATAATATAATATATTAATTATTGTTATTTTTATAATGATAATAATTATTACTAGGTACCTATACAATATTTTAGAATATATTTAAAGGATCTTATTAAATTAATATTGTTTTGAATTAATATACCTACCATAATTTAATTATAATCTAAATTCTAAACATATCAATATATCAATATTTTCTTCGTTATTTCTTTAAGTACACGGTGGACGACATTTAAAATATTGCCAATATATACCTTCAACCGGAATCGTTGTTGTATTTGGAGCGGCAAAAATGAATTGCCTATAATTTCGATCAAATATCATTAACTTCTTACAATGTCTACAACGGCCAATAAGATTGGCACAGGTCCATAGATTATGAGGTATAGTATGCCTCTTAAATTTTACACAATTATCCATTATACATAAAAATGATAAATCCAATAACGTTGGCACTTTTAATACACCAGAACATTCATTTTTGCTGCGTTCTTTAAAATAATAAAAATCATTAAAATTATTAAAATTATTATTCAAAATATTGAGTCTACGAAAAACTTTATCCAATAAACTATCTGGAAGGCAGATTAAATTGTTGCCATCAACATATAGAAATTGGAGATCTGAAAGTTCACCGACGAAATGAGGTAAATATTTCTGAAAAAAAAAATGATTAATGAGTAATGATGTTTGGCAAAAGTAAAAAGACTACTCTAAAAGACTACTCTATTTTTTTAAAAAAAATTCAAATCAAGTATATTTGTATTATATTTGAAAGATCTTAATACTGGTAAATAAGCTAGATTAGAAATTTTAAAAATATTAAACTAGCTTCATAAAAATACGAAATATAATGTAACAACACAATTTAAAATTCTTGCAATACAGAATAATTCTTCAATATATATATACATATTTTTTTTATTACAATAAAACAATAGATAAATTCTACAAATAAATTATGATTTTAACTTTTTTATGTACTTTCTAATGATCTAAAACAAGTATCGTAAAGATTATATTAATTATGTTAATTCTTATAAATTGATTTTAAAAGTACTTTATTCTTAATCAATTTATAAATACCTATACTGGGAAATGGGAATATATAATATTTTCTGCTATTTTAAATTTTTGAACTTACTTATTTCTTCTAATCTTGGAGAAGGGAAATCTAAAAGGCTAATTGACTAGCAATAAACTGTTGAAGTTAATTTGGAAGCTTTTTTTTCATTTACGAGTATTGTGGTTGTTTAATATCTTTTGAATAGAATTTATTTATGACAAATTATTTTTTTATTTTGAATGATAAATATAAAACATAGGTTGTCAAATGGTATTATAATATTATTAACTAATTAAATGTGCAAAATAATTTTTTTCATCAACACCAAAATTGATAGAGTATAGAGTAATTTATTGTATTTTATATTTCTATATAATTATATAAATTAGCTATATATACTTAGTTTAAACTAAAATTATTACTCATATTGGAAGGTTAGTACTTCTAAAATAAAGACACTTTTAAATATTTTAAATAATATTATACGTAATAATGTTAAAAAAAATATTTATTAGTTTAGAAATAATACATATATTATATAAAATTATTTATTTTATATGCTTTTGACTATTGCGATTTTTTTAATATAGATAGTATAATATTAATTATTTAGGGTTCGGAAGTTAATGATCTTAAATACATTAAAAAATGACCAAAACAATATACAAATATGACTTAAAAATTACGAAAAATGACCACCTTAAAAATTATAAATATTTGTTTAAAATTGGTAAAAATACAAAATATAAAAAAATGTAAAATGCATTAGCTTCCGAGCCCCATTAATGTTAAATTGAATGTGTAGATCTTGGTTGTGATATTAATACTTTATAAATTTTGCCAATATATGAGTATAATCAAGGTCATCAACATAATCGGTTTTGTCAGTAGATACAGGTAGTCTAGAAATCACTTATCGATTCCTCCATTTAACAATTTTTACCCGTGATCATTCTGTTTCCTTAATTTTATTAAAAAAAATATAATCAAATTTAACTTAATCATGTAACTAATAAATAATTAATTAAAAATTATAATAAAATAGGTACCTAAGTAATTGTTTATTCTCATAAAATTTGCATTCAAGTGAAAACTTATGAATTATAAATTTATAATGGTACAATGGTACATGTATCAAGTGTATAGATTTGAAGTTTTGAAAATAATTACTTAAGTATAGGCAGAAGTAAATGAAGTATGAAAAATTGAAATATTTTACCGATCACCAATAATAACATTTACATATATTATAAATCTATAATATAACACAAAATAAGTAGGTATCCATCATTTAAATATTAAGATAAAAATTTAATAATATGATAGAATATTCATAATACATAAAACGTTTTAAATGTATGTAAGTTATTTTTTTAACATTCCGAGTACTTTTCACATTTAAATAACATCTATTATACTATGTATAATAGATACATTATAGTGTGAAAGTGTTTATAAAAACTGAAAAAAATATTTACTGTGTATCCATTGTATATTATATATATATATAAATATATAAGGTTAAAATAAATAATAAAATTATAATTATAATCAAAAACAATATTGTAAAATAATAAATATAAGTAATAAGTAATATATGTAAATTTTTTATAAATTGTTTTTTCAAAATGATGAATAATTGTTAAGTATCTACCTATAGCTAACAATTTTATTAAACAATAGTTTTTATTACAATTTGATGATACAAAACTATATATCATAGCATAAAATAGCTATAGAAGTACGATTAAATTATAGTTTTTGTTTAGAAAGTTTTTATCTCCTGGCTGAGTTAAAATCGCAGAACTTTAAATTGGCGAAATCGATAGGTTGTTTTAAACACAAATGGTGAAATCGATATTGGCAAAATTGGTGTACCATTTTATTCTAATATAAAAAAGTCTGATGGAATAGAGTTATTAAGTAATAGGTACCTAGGAAAATACGTAATTCCGGGGGTGGAGAATATGGGGATAAATTAACATATTATAGTGATGGGCAACGATATAATTTCAAATATCGATATCGTATCGCAATATCGTAGTTCTTGCAATATTGATATTGCATATTCGTATTGAAAATATATAAATTTTAAAATTATAAATTAATTTTAAATAATAATAAAAAAAAAAAAATGAATAAATTAAATATAATATATAAGTTCTTCAAACGAGTTCAAAATTGAACACTAAAAATATAACTAATATGTTTATTATATAAACCAATTTATTAGGTATTAATCCATTTAAATTGTTGCTAGCAATAATAAAACATAATATAACATATTATATAAGTTGCACACGTTCGATGTAAGTCCACGGATAATCATAATATGCTCGTATAAATATAAATTAAATAATAATGCCAGCGGATATTTCCGGTTTGTGTTAGATTTTAGTGTTCATACTTCATATAATGTAATCAAATTTCAAAAAAGTAAAAATAAATAAAAACGATGATTAAAATTTATTTATTACAATACCGCGTGATAATATATCGAATTATTAAAAATCGAAATCGATATAAAATATATGTTATGATATCGATATCGTATCGAACTATCGATATCTTTGTCCATTACTAATATGTACTTTGTTTATGTGTTGTTATTTTATTTAAATTCTAAGTTTTGCTTTAAAAAATAACAATATCAATTATTTTTTTAATTGATTATATTAAATTATATATTTGTCATATATTAAAGAAAAAAAATAAGTTAAAAGTAAAAGTAAAAATAAAAAGCTTATAGGTAATTTGTAAATAACATAATTGTAAATAAATAACTAGAAAAATACAGTAATAACTCCTATATTTTTAGACTACATGGTATTTAAAATTTCTAGGTGTGTTAGATGATAAATCGAACTTACTAAATTATTGTTGGATACTGACAAACTTCGTAGATTTTTCAGATACATGACTTCATATGGCAATTTCATTAAACCGATTGAATTTATTTCCAATACATTTAACGTTTTACTTATATTGTCCATAGTCATCCAATCCCAGGCGAAATTTTCACCACAATCTGGCATATTTAGTTTGCTACCATTTAGGCTAAGACTTGAAATTTTTAAATTTCCAAGTTCTGCAGGTATATAAGGTAAATCGCAGTTTTCCAAGGCGATTGTTCGTAGATTATTTAATTTCAAATTTTGAAACAAATCTCTACTGTTAATGATCCCGAAAATGTTGAAAATATCGGTTTTAAAGGATTTGCAGATTTTTAAGTTCAGACTTTTAGCGAGGGACATTAGATTCTTATAAAAAATCTTTACCCTGTTGACATCGTCAGACAAAATAAGCAACTCGTGACTAGGTTCTCGAAACAGCAGCACGATTTTCATCTCATGATAAAGAACACCATCCAAGTTTTCAAGCATGTACGAAGATTCCACTTGATTCGAGCTCATTTTTATAAACACAGTGTAAGTGCCGTTTACATCATTGATTTCGACGATTGTATGGTTCACCCGCGTCCCATATCTGCGTTCCGAGGTCTTATCATTTAAGAAAACATATCCCGTGATTGAAATCATTATTATTTTTTGTTTTGTAATAATGTACTTTTTAAAATGGTCGCGCACTTGAAATTTGACTGCGTATGAATTGCACAATGTTGGTTTAGTCACGTTAATTTTTACTGTACCTGAATTACCTCACCACTACATGAAATTTAAAGAGAATTTATGAATTAGAACAGCAGTCGTCGGAGAGTGCACGAAGGCCGATACTTTAATTTCTGATGTAACAACTATAAACTTCGAACTATCGATGTGCGGATCGTATATTAACACTTTGATATAAATGCGCAGTTGTATTTGATATATGTATACATAATAGTGAGGAGTGATTACCAATCGGAAACCACCGTTTACTGTTTATACTCATAATATTATAGTAATCAATAATTTGTAGCTTGTTGCATGGGAAATTATCACACATAACCAGCTGAGGTAAACGTAAATAACCACGGTATCTCAGCGGCTCAAAACAATTTTATTTGCTTGCATAATTATGTATGTATATGTATGTTTTATATAAAATAATAAAATACACTTGTCGAGCATTATTGGATTAAAAAAAAAATATATATTATTATTACAAAACACAGCGACAATAGTAATACAGCAGAATACGTTAAACGCAATCGTAGGCAGTTCAACATTTGTGCACTAGAGCGCGCTACTTAATAGCTTCGTTATACCCCTGTAAAATACGATATTGATCTGGGGCTGCGTAATCATGTGTGGGGTGTATGGGAATTGCGAATCGTCACGACGGCAAAGTAAACTATATCACCGTACATTGAACGTACCTTAATGCATTTTTGTTGGCTGATTGATAAACATTGTTTACATTGATACGTCGTGTGTTCATATATTATGATTTATGACGATCGAAGGGACTCGGCTAACACATGGGCAGTTGGCGAATACCATCGACTACAAAATTGTTTTTATTTTTTCGATATCAGGACCACAAAAAAAAGTTATTTTAAAACTTAAAGTTAGTACATTATCTGTCATTTCATTGACTTTTTTGATATTTTAATTTTAAAGTGAATTATGATTTATGAGCATTTTTAAATATTAATGATTTACAAAGTCATAAATCACTTAAAAATTAAAATAGTTTGAAAATTCAACAGTAGAACATAGATTACATTCTTATCTTTAAATTCCATTAAAAAAGACAAATTCCCTCTAATAATTAAGGTAAACACACAAAATTGGAATTGTTGAACTTATATTTTACCATGTTATTCGTTGATAAGACGGAGTCAATACGCGTGGTTACATAAATATTTGATTCTATTTTCCTAAAATATTAATAGTGGTAACACCAGTATGTAATAAAGTTTAAATATCACAGTGGGGTACTTTCAAACAGTAATGATATTTGTACTATTGAATTCTATGAATTAGTTGAATAAGCAGTTTATTCAAATAATTGTGTAGGTTTCCAGAATATCCAGTCCGTGATAAAATATGTTGTAAATTACATAAAATTTATAGAATGTATACTATACTTTATGTTAATATTTGGTTTGTACACCAAACTGAACAATGAGAATTCGGGAAATAGTAAAATAAAAATGGCGTTAAGTTATAAATACCTTTTAAATAGATACATCTACTTAGTACTTACATTATTATAAAAATAACTAGGAATATGTGATACATTTTGATTGTAATGATAAAAGTGATAATATATTTATAATAATTTGGAAAAGTTATGATATATTTAAATAAATAATAACAATCATATTATTATAGGCGTGCGTAGGTTTAATAACGGTATGGATATGGCAGTGAGATGGAAAGAAATTGAGTAGATATTGGAGGGGTTGTTGAATAAAAATTTACAAAAGTCTTCTAATTTATACAAAATAAAAATAGTTGGTAGATTTTATTATATTAATTCAATAGCACCAAATTTCATCTTTATGCATGGCAGCTGCCATACATATTATAAACGTGTGGTAGCTGGTAGGGTATGCGTCTATAGAAGAATTATGGAAACGAATAGGAAGAATTGAGTTTTTTGTCTATTTGTATCATGTCCACGTACTATTTCTGTTTATTAAATAGTTTATAATTATATTATTATATTTTTAGTAATCATTTTTAATAAACAAAATACTTTATTGCCATATTATTATAAGTGTTAATACATAAATCGTATAGAAACCGTCAACTGATATAGACATCTACGATCTGCTAACTGGTGATCATCCACTTCACTGCCATAGGTATATTACATGTTTACATTATTACCGTTTATTTATTATGGTTAATTTAACATGAAGTCCATAAATAGCTATAGATAACTAAAGATTCCTACTGGTTATAATATAGAACTACTTATCGTTGAAAATCAACTGTGTGTTTAATCTTTGGTAAATAAGCTAGCTAATATTCAGATAGATTGTATTTTAATGTGATTGTATTGGTTTTATGGTTTATACTTATTTTTGACTGGCTTAAAATTTGATGAACTATGCCATTTATAATATATTTTTTAGATAATTATTCATAAACGGTTGAAGAATTTAATTGTTTCAACATGATAGTTATGATTTGACTTTTAAAAATATATCACTATTTATTCATATAGATACATGTATTTTAGATTATAAACGGAGCAATGAGTGTATTTATATATTTATTTTATAATTAAGTTTTTTTTCTTTTTCTATTTAAGGCAATAAAAATGCTTTGATTTTAAACTTGGAGAGAGTTTTTGACTATTCTTCATGTATTATCTAAAAGCAAAATAAATGTATTTAAAAGCTAACTATATAAAAATAATATTTCAAATTTAACCTACCTATTATAGAGACACGGAAATTTAAATGTATTAAAATTGCTAAAAATGTATTGTTAAGATAGATATATTTTTTTTCCGTGGAAATGGGACAATTTAACATCACAATATACGTATATCTGATATCATTCTCTATAATCATAAAATAATTTATAGTGATATGAAAAACAAATTTTTATTATAGTTGAATTAGTTATTATTTTAAAATTAAGAAAATATTGTTAGTAAAAATAGAGAATTATAATAAATTGTTTCAAACCTTAAATTTTGTTTTAATTTTAATTTTTTGTAAATTACGATTTACTTGATAAAATAGTTGTAAATTTATATTAAAAAATTGACACTTACTTAATTTTTAATTTATTTTTATTTTTTACATAATTTCTGTACAAACATGTTACATGGTAGCTACCTACACGATGAAAACAACTGATAACAAATTCAATACTTTAGGTAAGAGACTTTTAAAATTAATTAAATAGTGTTTTGGTAGTCCATTTATTTTAATTTATAAAAGAAACAATTATTTTAACATTTAGTTACAGATCACAGTGAATGAAAACACAATTACATGAACTACATGTCTACATGACATATCCATGTTGTCCCCTAAATATAATTACTGATAAAAGAGTCTAAACATATTCGAATAAAACAAATATTTTATATAATTTTGAACATAAAATTACATAGGTATATTTCCTTAAATTAATAATAAAATTTGCAGTTACTATTGTTAATGTATATATGTTTTTTCAGACAAAAACTATGTAACATATGTAATAATAATAATAACAAAAAACAAAATTTAAACATATTTTAGCAAAAAAAAAAAAAAATAATAAAAATATTGAAAATGCATAAAAGTTAAGTATATATAACCACATAATATATTATATTAAAAAATAATATCATAATTATTATTTTTGTTCATAGGTAGTTTATCAGCGAATAAAATTAAAAAAACGATATCGAATTTATAAAAGGGCATAGTAAATAATTATATAGGTATTAGAGAATTAATTTAAATAGCTAGGTCATATTATTTACATAATATAAATTGTAAATTTTTTAAGAACTTTACTGTAAATAATGTAAATAATTTTATATATAGATGTAAACTATTTTCCATGTTTTTAATGTATCACCGAATATATCGATAGACTCATAATATTTTAAAAGGTATCTGTAATAATTATTGTACAAGATGAACAAAAGTTGCGTTCATAATCACATTAATTTATTAATGAATACAACATATTAAGTAGTTCGCGACGCAACTTCATAACGAACACGGATTGATTATAAAATCACCTGGGTCGGTAATCGGCGTAGTATCTGCCACTATCGATAATAAAAATAGCAGAATAACATATCAAATACCCATTACCCATTACCCGTACATATATAAAATGTTATTACACAAATATCACAGTATCTATCTCAATAATACTGTAAAATACGTATTTTACTAGCAATTTGAACACATACATGTAATACTACCTACACATTTAAGTAAATAAACATCAAACGTTTTCGATAATAATACTCATAAGTCAGGAACAATCAAATAGCATATCGGTGTACTTAATAAATAATACATTTTTAAATTCTCCAATATCTGGCAACATATTTTTATAATTAATATATTATATACTATAAAGCGTTTAATTATTATGTAATATACTAAAATAATATAAATCCTTAAATTAAATATTCAGATAGATTGAAATGAATTGATCACAAACGGCATGAATAAGGTGCATATCGCAGCAATGCTGACAACTCTGTCTGAATTTCTTACCTGAAAAGGAAGGTAGCGTTTGGCGTGTATTTATTGAACTATAAACCGGCACCGGGCCGAATGTGGTAGGAGTGCTAGTCGTGATACGGCACAAGTGGAAATGCACAGGTATATCTGGTTTTCGTTGAGTTGTTGTACCTTAAATTCGCTAGTAAGACTAGAGGTATTTATTAAAAAATAAAACGGCAATAGCCGCCCACGCGCGTCTGGGACTTGGGAGTACACGAGTTGCTGACACTCCGTAAAATAAGGTGTACTCGAATTGCGATCTAAAAAATCATAAGTGTTAATTCAAGGGTTAGAAATCAACTAATAATTTATTTAGCTTATAATTTTTTGTTTGTTGAATGTATAATAAATAATTTTTTTATAGCAAATATGCGTTAATTTCAATCAAATGTCATA